CTCTGAAAGCAGTCTTAGTATTGGAGATACATAAATCCATTCCCAAACTCCACACGGCTCGCCTTTACTACGTCCTACACCATTTCCTACGTCATTGACCTGTTTCCCTCCATTCCCATAGCATTTCAGAATTGCAGACACCTTAATCTAATCGTCATAAACAGTTCCCACGCTCCATACTACTCGCCTTTACTACTTCCTTCACCACTTCCTACGTTGCAAACCTGTTTCCCTCCCTTCCTATTGCATTTAAAGATTGCAGATACCTTAATCTAATCGTCATAAACAGTTCCTACACTCCGGACTACTCGCCTTGACTACTTCCTTCAACACTTACTACGTCGCGGACCCGTTTTCCTCCCTTCCCATAGCATTTTAGGATTGCAAATACCTTAATCTAATTGTCATAAACAGTTCCTACACTCCGGACTACTCGCCTTGACTACTTCCTTCACCACTTCCTACGTCGCGGACCTGTTTCCCTCCCTTCCCATAGCATTTTAAGATTAATTTTTTTTTTTTCTAATTTCGACATCATAAGATGTGGGATTGCCCCTGAACTGGTTATAATAACTAATATAATGGTTTTAAATACCTTCAGTCACCTTCACTCAAAACTGGCCCGCCTGATGATGGTACAACTTCGTGCCGAAACCTAGGTCGTAATAGCCGACTATTTTGAACTTGTGACTGAAGGTATTTAAAACCATTATATTAGTTATTTTTGGATTGCAAATACCTTAATCTAATCGTCATAAACAGTTCCCACACTCAGGACAGCTCGTTTTGACTACTTCCTTTACCACTTCCTACGTCGCGGACCTGTTTTTCTCCCTTCCCATAGCATTTTAGGATTGCAGATACCTTAATCTAATCGTCATAAACAGTTCCCACACTCCGGACAGCTCGCCTTGACTACTTCCTTCACCACTTCCTACGTCACGGACCTGTTTCCCTCCCTTCCCATAGTATTTTAGGATTGCCCATACCCTTAATCTTATCGTCATAAACAGTTCCCACACTCCGGAAAGCTCGCCTTGACTGCTTCCTTCACCACTTCCTACGTCGCGGACCTGTTTTCCTTCCTTCCCATAGCATTTTACGATTGCAGATACCTTAATCTAATTGTCATAAACAGTTCCCACACTCCGGACTACTCGCCTTGACTACTTCCTTCACCACTCCCTACGTCGCGGACCTGTTTCCCTCCCTTCCCATAGCATTTTAGGATTGCAGATACCCTAATCTTATCGTCATAAACAGTCCCCACACTCCGGACTGCTCGCCTTTACTACTTCCTTCATCACTTTCTACGTCACGGAGCTGTTTCCCTCTATTCCCATAGCATTTTATGATTGCCTTTACTACTTCCTTCACCAATTCCTACGTCACGGACCTGTTTCCTTCCCTTCCCATAGCATTTTAGGATTGCAGATACCTTAATCTAATCGTCATCAACAGATCCCAGACTTCGCACTGCTACCCTTGACTACAATGTATCGAGTAATCTTCAGTATGTTTTATATATGGTATAATCTTTGCTAAATATTAACAAGGGATGTTTTTCCTTTTGTACTGTATTTGTAATTTGCTAGTATACTGTGGGTAGTTGGCTTATTATGAACACATGCTACAACTTCAAGTCTTTTGTTTACTTTTTCCTTGTTATTTAATTCAGCCAACATGGTTACCTAGCAACCCATAAGACTAATGTTAAAAAAATGTGATTTTCAGTTTCATTTTTCTACGTAATTAGATTTTTGTTGGCAGTTCTAACCGCAGTAAACTTGTTTTTAGGCCAGAAATAAACTATTTACAACATTTGAAGAAAATCGTCGGAGCCGTTTTCGAGATCTTTGTGCAAGCAAGCATACATACATACATACATACAAGCAAACATTTCTCATATTAGAGTATAGGATTTACAAAAAAGTGTGGAATGAATCTTTAACATATGTTTTGAAATCAAAACAAAGAAGATCTTCATTTAATCTTAAATCGTTTCTTTAATCTTGAAAAAAATTTATTTCAACTTTGACATAACTAAAAAGTCTTGATTATTGTGGGTAACGTTATCCCTTTATATAGTTGATTTTATATAGTATACAGTACATTGCAGAATTGACTGGCAAATAAGTAATTCAAATATAGTAGGCCTATTGCTTACTGGCTTGATGATAAATCAGCTGTATTGAAGTAAACAATAATCAGCAGGAAATGGCTTCTAATGCTATTCTTAAGCACGGGTCACACTAGGCTGTTTGCCAGCCGCTGGTGATCAGCAGCTGGCACCAGCATCACCGGCTCACCAATCCAGGCTGAGTCAGCTCAGTGTCAGCTGCGAATTTTGTGGTCACATTAAGCTGACAGTCGCGGCTTCTTTCAATTCGCCGCTGATGCCAGCCTAGTGTGACCCGTGCTCTATGGAGAACATTTTACGTTATATCTAATTTTGTGTTAAGATTTTGGGAATTTCTCTATTTTTCCCGCTGTCACAGGATCGAGACCTTTCATTTGAGCCCTCTCCTGTCATTCTACAACTTCCCAGTCACCCACAATTTTGATGCAAAGAATCGGCTTACGTAATTATAGACTAGTGGCTTGTAGGGACATATAAGTCCCTAATATAGCAGTAAAAAATCAGCAGTAAATGCCTTCTAATGCTATTCTTATGGAGAAAATTTTACGTTATATCTAATTTCGTGTTAAGATTTTGGGAATTTCACTATTTTTCCTGCCGTCACAGGATCAAAACCTTTAATTTGAGCCCTCTTCCGTCGTTCTACGACTTCCCAGTCGCCCACAATTTTGACGCAAAGAATCGGCTTACGAAAATTAATATACTGTATAGATAGAAGATAGATAGATAGATAGATATATTCTATAACCATTGCTGTATATGAATTGAAGCTCACAAATCTTCAAAAGAAAGCTTATGAAAATCATTTTACTACTCAAATTTTTTAGGAAAGGTTGGGAAAATAACAATGATCACATGTTTCATCTTGGCAGCTTTTTCTTTACCATAAATTTTGAACTGCTTAACCTATGCTTGAATTAGTAATAGACACAATATATACAGTTTTAATGCACTACTCGATTCCCGTACGTAGGACGGGCCAACAGCTCGTTAGTCATTAACATCTGTTGCTTGGTGGCCAATCAAACCTCTGTCTCTTTTACAATCTGGTCGAGCACCGAGAGTTTGGAGCCATTCGGCCTTCTGTCAATGACTTGTTCACCACTGCATATCCATCTTGCTTACTTGAGTGATTCTCCTTATTAAACTCGATTTTGAGAAACTAACTATCCTATCCTACTATTAATATAAATTAGCTGTTACCATGTGCAAAAAATTGTTTGGAACAAATTTAAATTGATTTTGGAACAACAAAAACTGTTATAAAACGTGCATTGAAACAATGTAAAAAATGGATTTACAATGTTTCCAACTTGTTTCAAAGCTATATCAATTCTGTTATATATTTTGCTTCTGTACTTCTTATATCTTACTAAGGGTAGACTTCCGTATTTGTTTGGCACAAACAACCGAATGAAAATATTGATTGATTATTCAATATATCGTTTGTTTAGTTAGGTAAGGTAACCTTACTAACCAAACGATATATCGAATGAAACAATCGAATAATCAATATTTTCATCGGTTGTTTGTGGCAACAGATACGGAAGTCTACCCCTTACTTAAATTATAAATGTGAAAGTTTGTGTGTTTGTTTGTTTGTTTAAAGTCCAATTACGCATCAACGATCGTGTCGTAACACTTCGGCCCAGTAACATTTCGGCCCGAAACCCTCAGATGTGGCCTACAGTCCAAGTCTCTACCTGCCCACTAGTAACACTTCGTCCCAACAAAATATTTGACAGGTTAGGTTAGGTTAGGTTAGGTAAGATTCCACCAATTCTCCTTCATGTGAGGTCAGAGGATGCAAGGGGTTGACGGTTGGGCGACATTCCACCAGAGGGTGGTTGCAAAGTATACAGGTCATGTACCTCTTACTACCTGAACTGCGTTCCTCAACCCTTGTCAATTTTTCTTCGGGCCAAAATGTTACTCCATTAGCTTATTTAATCATCTGTAAAAGCGAGTGGGACGAAGTGATACTGTTTTTCTAAGAAATTTGAGTTTGGCTGAAATGTTACTGGGCCGAAGTGTTACTACATCTCAACAATGGCTCTGGAATTTCCCATGTTAATCTTATGAGTTTTTATATTTAAAACAAATTAAAGAATTTAGTCAGCTGTTTCAACTAAACAAGTTGGTTCTGTGATATGCAATGGCTTTAAAAAGTTTAAAGGTTTACCAACAGGGAGCAGCACTAATATTTTTTTTTACATTTATTACAACAGCTAATTTGAACGAATCAGCAATAAAAAGCTGTGGTACACTAATGAGAACTGCCAAATTAGGATTGTTAACCGTTATATGTTTAGGTTTTAAATTTAATGGATATTGTGCGAATGTTTGATAATTTATTTTCTTCTTGTTTAGGTTGTTCTTTAGTGATAGAACGGTTATAGTAGATGTGTTATATAGCATACCGTAAATTAAAAGAACCAAATTTTCTCACACCGTGTCCTCTCCCATTGGAAATGCAGAGAACGAGTATTACACCTGTAATAAGCATTTTATACTTTTATGCCAACCCCGTATGAAGGACGGGTGCTATGCTTGTTAATCCATATGTTAATTATTTACATTGTTCATATCATAATATTTTAATATACTTTTCAGCTATTAATAAAGAGTTATGCATGTTACAAGTGCTTGTATTTATTAATAATTTTATTTATATAGATTGACGACAAAGATAAAAAAAAATCTATTTTTTTTTACCTTTAATTTATTACCTTTTATTATTTAATTACCTATTTGAATTGTTCAGTCAACTACCGCATCTATAGGCCTAATTCCTGCACTTCTTTCATTGCAAATAGCATTGGTGTAGATACTAAAAGAAAGATTGCAGCATTCAGTTTACCTGTAACCGTAGTGTTTGTAGCATACACAGCCAAGCGCCAGTCTGCGCCACAACTCTCAACAGCATCTCCAGAACAAGGCTTACTGCAGTCTTCTTGGTTTACCGCTAGATTGGTATTTGGTTTCTCGTTACCACAGAAGCACTCTTTCCTGTTTAAATAACAAATAAGCTTACACGTTCAACAAAGTACAAATAAGTACAAGTTAGGCACTCGTTTGACATCGTATTATTATTGAACTTAAGAGAAAAGAATTTATTTATAAAAATAAATACCTCTGCCTTAAACAATAAGGTTGCCAATGACACAGAAAAATAGTAGTATAAAATATCTAAGGATTATACAGCTATAAGACTGATTAATTTTGATGTTTGCCATATAGATGATTTCTCATTATGGTCAATGAACCTCTTAATGTTTCATGAATAATAATTTTCAAAAAGGATCTGTCCAAATCATATCGTTTCCAAAAGTTCACAAAAAATTTTGATAATGTTCCTCTAGAACCAATAAACAATCCAATCACCTCAATTTTTGAAATTTTAAAATTTTGCTTGAAATATTCAAAGGTAGAATCATAAATTTTTGTCTTTTCTTCATTTACTTCGTTAGCTTGATTTATGTTTGTTTCAAATCGAATTGTAGGATCGAGAATTATGCCTTTGTTAGTATCTCTCTCAATCAATAAAATATCTACTCTTCTGGTGCTTCCGTTAGAAGAAAGACAGTGTACTTCTTCTTGCACTTCCCATGTATTATACCTTTTTCGGAAGGCATTTGCTATGATACTTCTTATTTTGTGGTGCCTTGTGTTTCTTAGAAGTTCATTAAACGGACAGAAGCCAAGGGCATGTGCAAGGGTTTCAATCTCACCACAGGCATGCCTGCAGCGGTTATTGCCCTGACTTTTGCCGTGGAGAACACGCACTGGCACCTCATTTGCAATCATTTTTATACTGTCTTTCCACTCAGATTCTGACAAGCCTTCTTTATTAATAATACTTTTATTTCCCGGAGTAGTCCTTGAAAAGTTCAACACCTTTACCCTTCTGTTTTAAGCTTTTCAAATTTTCAAACTCTTGTTCTCTTAAGTCATTTCTTAATTTTTGGGTATTTATTGTTTGATTACGATCAATTTCTTCTAGGTGTAATTTTTTAAAACAAATTGTTTTTATCCGTTTAAATTTGTCTTCATTTATTGTATAACAATTTTTAACCCGTCTGAGTATTTGTATAGAATTAAGTTGTTGAATATATGCTTCCCATTGAACAATATGTGGCAGTGTCAACCAAAACCCTACTATCTCTGTAAAAATTAAATACATATACTTTCTAGCAGCGTTTTGCATTTAACTTTATACTCTCATAATGTAATGTTTACCTACTTAGCAAACTATGAAAAATATATTACCCATATTCAACTCCAGAATATCGGAAGCCCAATTGCAAACAGAAATTCATACATCTTCTTGGAGTGTTAGTTTTGTCAAATGTGTATTTGTGGGAATGTCCAAAGATTTGGTTGTTTATGTCGTTGAAACATCCTAAATATTTACCGGCTACTGGCAGATCTGTAACAGTGAAGAATAGGCGTGCAATCATACAAACCTAACAATCACATATCATTCTGTTGCTTCACACTGTTAATATTGCATTCACAGATAATATTGTAATCATAGTGTATAACTCTACTGATATTTATCCCAAAAATTGAGATATGAATGATGAGGCAAGAATTAGTGTGACTTAAAATCTCAACTAATGTCATCTAAAGTGTTTTGTTTGTCAAGTAGAATTTTACCTAAGAACGTAGGCCTAGTTTCAAACACAATGAAGAATAAACTCACACATGATATTTTTTTAATACAGTAATGACACTCCAAATCATCAAATAAAGTCAAACCGACCGATTTTGCAAATATTTAACGCCCACGACAAACTGGTGTTTGTTGACAGACGATGACTAATAGATCAACGGCAATGGATGACGTACTTCCGATCAGCTGTTGTCTAGTGCTTTAACTCGCCACCAGAGCACATAGGCCTCGACCAAGCTTAAATCTAACCATGGAATATGATTATTCGTTGTCTGATGGTTGACAAGCACATTACTTGCTTCTTACCCGATCTATGAATTAACGATCAAGGTAACGATTTAATTCCTAATTTACCTGGAATTCCAGTTTCTCTGATGGAGTTTCTCGTTGGGCCTCCACAAATTTCTCCGGGGTCGCCTGTACAACGTTTGAAGCACTCCTTCTCTGCTAGTTTCAAGTTTGGATTCGGAGGCTTGTCTCCACAAAAACACTGGTAGCTAAAATCAAGAATCAAAGTAGTGTGAAACAAGTATTTGCTTATCTTAAATCTATTTTAGATTGTATAAAGTTTTTTTAATGCTAGATAATGAAAGAAGTCGCCAATCATAACAGGAATCCAAAACGACAGTTATTGCAGCATATGACAACATTATGGAACATGAGGAAGGTTTACTGATGAATGGTTATGTGTGGTACTGTAGCTATTTGCTGGTTCAAAACTGGACTCGTAGCTCTCCTTCATTTAAATTTTAATACATAAATGGTCCTTGCTAAGAAACAACTGGTCTTAGTCAGGGACCATACACTCATCTTGCACTCATATTCTGGTTTACATACACAGCATTGTGTTCTGGTCTCAGTCTTATAATATTTTTTTTGTTTGTTTGAAAAAGGTGTTTGTACCACAACTGCTCAGTGATTTTATAGAGGGGGGATTTCCTAGGGTAGCATTTGGACTACCGTCAATAGGGAGATAGTTTCAACATTCGGAAGAATATTTAATATTAGAATTTTGAAGGTGAACAGAGGCTAAATCACTGTCTGAGTTACCAAATGAAAGTGACTAGAAAAATAACGGATAATCGATCGTAAATATTAGTGGATTGTATGACACGACAGTGTAGCGCATCAGTCTAACATGCTCTAAAACTCGAGTTTTAATCCCTAGCCTTAATTTGGCAATATTTTTACCCATGCTAAATGGATGAGCATTTTTGTATCTAAATACTTAATATTCACCTGTATTGAGTCCCAGCGTACAAAAACCCTCTAGAATAACACAGCCCTGTACACTTCAGATGCGTTAGAAAACCAGAGTCCTCCAAATGCCCATCCAATTGTCGTGAATTTTCATCGTCCTTATAACAACCAACATACTTCCCATTGCTGGGCGGGTCCTCTTTGTCTGTAAAGAAAAGCAAAAATTTTTAAACTCTGGAAGCAAAAAACAATCCTTTGTAAAGATTTATTTGGGGTTAATATTTTAGGTTCATCCCAAAAACGTTGCATTTCGATGCACCAAATACTAAGTATGGTGAAATTACTGTGGAGGGGATGACTGTTGTTTTCTACTGATACAAAAGAGCTGCTGGAGAAGTGCTCCGAGCAGCAGTCAGTTGACCTTCAAACATTGAGCTTAATACACAAACCCCGAGCAGCAATAACATTCGATATTTAATATTCGAAACATTTTGAGCATTAGTTGGTTGTAGAATATCCCGTTTGGTCACCATTTCATCCCCAATAGAAGATTTATTTATTTAAGAAGGTTTATTTATTATTTTACGAGTTTTTATTTTAACGTTCACATTTGTCCTGGATTCTATGTGCACAAGTACGCGTAGATTCTTTCTTACCCAAGGCTTTGGTGTTTACCAAACACTAAACTATTTTAATTTATTATTATTCTAAATTTGTCCATGTCCATTACAAATGTGGTTATTTATAAAGTCACAAAAACGTGGACAGTCAATAAGTGAACAACTATAAAAAATCATCTTTTTAATCATCATTTGTTAATTCAACTCTCACCGTCACCACAATATGAGTATTGGTACCTGTATTCGAGGTTTTAAAAATAGAAAGCCTCCAATTTCCACCGCAGAGTTGGTTTATGTCTCCCTCACATCGTTTTGAACATTCCTCGTCACTTGCGTATTCTCTGTAAGATGGCTTTCTGTTTCCACAGTGACATTCCTTCCTGCAAGTTTTATTTTCATATATGTCAAATGACTTACAAGGATAGTGTTGAACAGTAAAATATTTGGCCCATAGATTGGCTGCAATTGCATATATCCTAACACTGGATAAAGTGTTTTAAAAATAGTGAATTCAGCTTCGGTAAACAAATATTTTGTGTCTAAAAACATTGAATGAATGAATGAATGATTAAGGGAATAATCTGGCTCCTACTACCATACCTCCTCTAATACAAGGAAGCGGCTTTGGTGTACGGCAACGTCGCACCGGCATGCCTATTGCCATGGTAATAACAGGCGAATAACAAACTTGTACACATACAAATTTCATATACGCTCCTTTATAAATTAGTACAAAAGCTGTTTTAGCCGGATTTACGGCGTTACCACTTTTGTCTTGCCGCTGCCTTGTATTAGAGGTGGCTGTGCTACTCAACAAAAATATGGACTGACAGTCTACTTCATCTAATGATGATTTTTTAGTTGATGCTTAAAATACAAATTTACTAAACGCTTTAATTGAATATTTTTGTTGAATGTAATCTTTGTAAACATATGGGGATGGTAAGGTAGTAGGGAAATTCCTATTTCTACATGCCAGACGATTAACACACATTCTTCCTCCAAGTCTAAAATTTAAAAAAATTTGTGAAAACTTGAAACCCTCTAAGAAACATTAGATGTAACAAGTAGATGGAAAAGGTCATTTGTTGTACAAGATGCTATGGCATACAACATTTTTAAATGTCAATAATGCACTATGTTAACAGTCATGAGAACAATTTCTAGATTGGATCTATTCTATAAAACGAAATATTGGGAAGTTCTCTCTGAGAAATGTATGGAAAAGAAAAGAAAAGAAAATGCAAAACTGTGGTAAGGGACTGACTCTGATAATTACATACATAAAATACTGTATTTAAGTTTATTCATGTTTTACCAATATATTTAATGTCTAAAATCAAAACTGACATATTGTATATATAATTTCCCCAAAAATACCAGTGTATTATATTTCGTCTTTTTTTGGAACAATCATTAAATTCCTGTTACTTTGGTATAAAGATCTGTTTATAATACATTTCCACTTTCACTAACTTTTAAAAATTTCCTTAAACACTATCTCTAGATAATATTTGCAGAGAGTAAAAGGATTAAACCATTTGTTTAGTTGCTTTTGCCATTGACTTTAGAATAGTGAAGTCCAAACCGGTTTACAACGCAAAGGAGCTGGTTTTCCTCATTGCCCAAAAATTTATTTGGAAAAAATTTCATCTGAGCTAGTTAAACTAAAAATTATTCATATACACATACCCATATTCAGTTCCAGCATAGTGAAATCCTTTATTTTTACACAATTTCACACATTTAATATTGGTTAGTGTACCAGGGAAATCTTGACGGTGGCCAGACAAGAACCTGTTGGCGTGTGAATCTTTAAAACATCCAAGAGATAGCAAAACATCTACGCCACTTTCTGAAACAGTACAGTTAAAATGAACGTAACATAATATTTGAATGAGGATATTTTAGAATAATTAATTAGATGCCTACACAATTTTTGGGAGCTTTATAAGTATCCACTTTCCACTTAACTTTGAACTTTCTCACATACTCACTCAGACCAACAAAGATCACTTTAAGTTCATAGAGACCCAAGTTCTTAAAGTATAAGGATGAACTCTAAAAATTATAATAACTCCTAAGAAAAACACATTATTTCTATATAATTTTCTTTGTGTTACACCTCGAATGTTTCTTCGTGAAGCCTCTGAGGGTGTTTGAACCCTACTTGGGCTGTTTGAAACTTGTTTTGTAAGGCTGCAGCCAAAACAGTCAAAACTCAAACTCAAATATGTTGACGAAAACAATACTTCATATGTATAAATATTTCATAATAGGGCTTACAGTAGGCTACTTTGTATAGGGGTAGAAAGTAAAACTGGTAGGTTAAAAAAAAACTGTGATGAGTGGATGGACTGTATTGGACTATCATGCGAAAGAGGGTACAACAACATTAAAATTAGTCCTATAGTTGTGTTTATAAAATCAGTGTTAAGTTAAATAGGTAAATTCTTATGTTTGTTTTGTACAATAGTCTAACATGTAAAAATATTAGATATTAATTTTAGTAGATACAATACCAGAATATGACCCCACTTTCGGCGTTTTTGGACCTAGGACTTTTGAAACTTTTTGGCGAAAAAACACCCCAAATAGCTATAATATGATGATTTTACCCCATTTTTGGCGTTTTAAAGGCTATATGGGGCCACTTTTTTGGTAAAAAAATGTTATTAATACTGAAAAACATGTCTGGAAATGAAGAGCTTTTTTTGGCCACTTTTTTTAAAGACCCGGCTCTCGGCACGCGAACTCGTGTGCGCTCCCGACCCATAGGCACACTTCTGATCCCCAGCGATGACAAACTAAAAGTCTTATGAAAAAATGTTTGAAACAAAAATTGAGTAACATCTAATCATCTGTACTTCTTCCACTGAAAGTTTTTCTCTGATTGAAAAATAAAAAAAATCCTCGCTTACTCACTTTTTCATGTTTACTCAAAGTAACCTTTTTATATTTTCCATAATTAATAATTACACATTGGCACAAATTAAATTATATTCATATTGTATTAAACAGTATTTCATGTAGAATTTTAATGCATAAATTTTATGCTATAAATATTTTTATTAGAAGCTAGACAAACATGTAAGTGATAGGAGGCGCATCACTTTGAACATCGTCATGCCTCTGACAGTGCCGTGCTGGTAACACCTGGAGTTTGAAACCATTGCTATTGCTGAAATTATATTATAACACATTTACATACAAAAGAAACTGGTAAATGGTTTTAAATTTTTAAACTTTTTTATGCTGTATTATTATGTAGAAGGCCATGTAGTATGTAGGCTGGAATTTTAGCCGTTTTGTTGTATATCAAGCCTTTTTGAGATATAAATATTTTTAAACAATAAAGCAGACCTTTATTCACTAATGCTGATATTATATTACAATGCATTGGCATACAAATGAAAACGGTTTGATTTATTTGTACTCATATAAAATAATATAATTCTTTTGAGTTATAGGGATGTCTGGTGATTAAATCACAAATTAAGATCATTTATAATGGACTTTTAAAATAATGGAATTAAGTATAGACTTATAACATTTTCATGATAACTGTTTGATTTATTTGTACTAATTTAAAATAATGTTAAAATAGTATTTGATTTTTATGTTGTATTATTGTTTTTTATCAAAAGTTGAAACCAATGTAGTGTGCCTAAATGTTTATTTACTGTTTTCTGTATCTCAAGCCAATAGATAGAATAGAACAAAGAGGTGTTTTTGGTGTTTTACCTATGAGAATAACATGGGGAGATTTTAAGCCACTTTTTAAAAATCGTGCTTACTCTCTATACATTTCTATGCAAATGTCCATCTCCAAAAATATTTCCAATCCCCATTAATTTTTGTATCATGTGAGTTTTGCACCAGTTGGTTTGAAATATTTATAAATATAACGTGTTGCTGGAATCGCCTTAAATGGCAAGAAACATGTAGTCTTGGGACCTCTGGTAAAATATTGGAGTTTTCCTAGTTTGGACTAAATATTTGTGAAAAATTGAAAAAAATATGTTTTTTACTCAACTATTTTAGCATCTTGAAACATGTATTACCGAAGAATCAGTCAAATATTTCGTGCCGAAATTATATTTTACCTTACGTGAGAACGTGGAATCATTATTTAAACTCAGTCCTGCTCCACAGTATAATTGCAGGCTTGCTTCTCGTCCTAAGTGGTGAATTGTGTACAGTTTATGTGTGGTGCAAAGACTGGTTTCTCTTTTTAGTTGTGACCAGCTCATTCCTAAGATGCTAGATGGTATCCACTTTGCCTCTGAACATAAGCAAATTGTAATCTTCAGTTTAGGACTTAAAGTTAATGTCGGATGTGATGCCTCTTTGATCAGAAGTTTGGGTTGTGATTAGCTCAACCCCTATCACCAATATCAGCATAGATCCATTGAACTATTATGTGTTATTGTACTTTGTGCTGATTAATATGTGTTTGGTAAATTAGCATGGCACAACACACAATCCCACATCTTGCTAATTGTAGTTGGTAGTTTAGGTGGTCAAAGTAGAAGTAGGGAGCATTGACTTTCTACAATCATGATGAGATAACCAGCCAGAGCCTCAGACTGCAATAAAAAATAGATGAAAATGCAAACTCTAAAGGCCCCGACCGTGTTTCATACTTCCAGGTTGGAACAACCTTTACTCGGAATATTGTATATAAATTGTTTGTATACATAAGACTCTTGTAGTGAATGTACTCTTCGATGAAAAGACAAAATAAAGATGAAAAACTACTTTATGCAAAGAAGAGAAAGTGATTGTGAAGGGTAGCTATAAACAATCGTATTTTAGTGAGCAATGAAAGTTGCTATAATTATTGGGATTGTTTTGGATAAGTTTATAGATATGCATTGTGTTTACAGGAATTAATCATAGTGGGGATGCCATTTACATCGAGACATATTGATTTTGTTAAAGTGATAAAATGAAGACCATGATAGTGGTGGATAAAGATTTTAATTGTTGAGCAATCGATGTGAGAAGGAGTTTCTTGTTAAACAATAACCTGGAAAACCAATACAACATAATGCATTGTCATCCCTCATTGGTATTGTACCTTACAAGCTCTTTTGTTTTTTACTCATTTTCAAAAACATATAAATTACAAAATAAGCCATTTGTTGTTTATTTTACTGTTATGTATTGTAAGTTTATATATTGAAATAAATGGTTAAATAAATGTAAGTTGAAAAATGAGCCTTATTTTGTCACTAGTTTATTTACATTGATTTGAATCACATTTTTGAACTAACAGATGATTAAATTATTAATTGCATAACATTTGAAACATAGAGATACAACATTTATATTATTAACTGGAAACTATAGATCTATATTATTGTATGAACATAATTTCTGTATTTCATATATGTAAAAGCAATGAGACCATGCTAAATTACAGAATTCAGTAACAAAGGAAGTTGATATTGTGCTATATACCTGAGGGTGTAAATATAGAGGTGGGTATTTCCATAGAGACCTAATGATGAATCAGAATGTGAAAGTTCTATGGTAGAAATATCAAGAAAGCAAGAGTGATCATCAGAGGTAACATGGTCATTAGGGAATTCATAGAGAGGGGTCAGTCAGGTTGAACTAGTATATTGCAATGATTCATCCAATATAGAAACAATAGTTACAAATAACCAGAACCAATCACTGAATATTGTAGTTAGTCTTCCTATCCTACTGTTAAAATATGAAACTCATTTTTACATGAGTTAGTGAGTTCATGCCCGGCAACATGAGTGTAATAATGGTTCCAAATGTATTTATCTTATTTTATGGTAGATTTCATTGTGTATGCTTACTCTATGGTAAAACTCTTTGAGATCATTTAATATTTAACACACTTAGAGATTAGTGAATAAATCATCAAAGTGTGATATAAATATGCTGGGTGAAACGTATTAAAACTTGCTATTATGTGTTATTGTACTTTGTGTTGATTAATATGTGTTTGGTAAATTAGCATGGCACAACACACAATCCCACATATTGCTAATCGTAGTTGGTAGTTTAGGTGGTCAAAGTAGAAGTAGGGAGCATTGACTTTCTACAATCATTATCAATTAATTTTATCAATTAAAGGATTGTCAAATGTCTCGGTTTTGCTAACTATGACCTGGTGTCCCGAAAAGGGCTCTTAAGACCATAAGATGACTATACATAAAGTTTGGACTATTGAATGTGATGTGAATTTATGCATACTTCATCATACAAATGTTACACTATAGTATTTTTACAAGTTCTGACTGTGACTGTGATGTGAATTTGTGTGTATTTCATCACATAAATTTCACACTATTTTCACACATTTCACACCACCATTATGATGTGTTGTGCCTGCATGGGTGTGTTGAGCCATGGATATCATAAACCACAAAGCTATAAAGACGTATGCTAGAACTGATCTAACCTCTGCCAAACCCTGAATACGAGCCTGGAGGCACAGACTTCGGACCAAGGATCAATTGTAAATAGACAAACCTGCATGATAGGATATAGAACACTGAAAAATGCAAATGTTAGAAACTTTAGTCTTTTACTTATTTAGTCTTACCATCCTCTGTTTTGGAGGAAACTGCCTTACAACCAACATGATGAAGATTGTATTAATACTCATGATCTTGGTCATTATAAAATTGATATGAGCATCATGTCAAAATGGGGATTTATCAAACATAAATCTGTATTTGCCATTATTCATAGACCTTTCCTTGTCTATTATGAAAAAGCCATCAAACACTGGTGGTAAAGACTTCTATATTGATTAAAAGTCATTATTAATATGATTGTTAAATATAAGGTTTTAAATTTATATTGCCT